ATTATGTATGATCTATAAATAGACTCACTCTCTCCACACTTCCTTTTCTCTTACCATTGTAATTTCCATGTCCATTCCAGTGTGAATTAGCTAGCAGTAAATATAATGGAAAATAAATATATGCAATGTTGAATAGTAACAAGTCAAACATATGAGGTAACATGGGTATCAAATATTTATGTATTTATTTAAAATAAAAAAATTATATAATCTCCACACCAAACATGGGGCTTAAACTAATGACTCTGAGATCAAGAGTTGCCAGCCAGGCAGCGTATCAAATATTTAATTTATGAAATCTTTTTTTTTTTTTTAAACTGGTATTTTTTTTATTTTTATTTATTTTTTTTTATAAATTAATTTTTATTGGTGTTCAATTTACCAACATACAGAATAACACCCAGTGCTCATCCCGTCAAGTGTACCCCTCAGTACCCGTCACCCATTCACCCCCACCCCCGCCCTCCTCCCCCTCCACCACCCCCAGTTCATTTCCCAGAGTTAGAAGTCTTTATGTTCTGTCTCCCTTTCTGATATTTCTCACACATTTCTTCTCCCTTCCCCTATATTCCCTTTCGCTATTATTCATATTCCCCAAATGAATGAGAACATATACTGTTTGTCCTTCTCCGGTTACTGTGGCCAAGTTCAAAAAGGGTGTTGCCTGAGTTCTCCTCTAGGATTTTGATGGAATCTTGTCTCACATTTAGATGTTTCATCCATTTTGAGTTTATCTTTGTGTATGGTGCAAGAGAGTGGTCCAGTTTCATTCTTCTGCATGTGGATGTCCAATTTTCCCAGCACCATTTATTGAAGAGAGTGTCTTTCTTCCAGTGGATCGTCTTTCCTCCTTTATCGTATATTAGTTGAGCATAAAGTTCAGGGTCCACTTCTGGGTTCTCTATTCTGTTCCATTGATCTATGTGTCTGTTTTTGTGCCAGTACCACACTGTCTTGATGAACACAGCTTTGTAGTACAACCTGAAATCTGGCATTGTAATGCCCCCAGATATGGTTTTCTTTTTTAAAATTCCTCTGGCTGCTCGGGGTCTTTTCTGATTCCACACAAATCTTAAAATAATTTGTTCTAAGTCTCTGAAGAAAGTCCATGGTATTTTGATAGGGATTGCATTATATGTGTAAATTGCCCTGGGTAACATTGACATTTTCACAATATTAATTCTGCCAATCCATGAGCATGGAATATTTTTCCATCTCTTTGTGTCTTCCTCAATTTCTTTCAGAAGTGTTCTATAGTTTTTAGGGTATATTTTGAGAACCATTTGAATGGTAAATGGTTCTCCAACCTTTTATTTTCAGGTTGTAGGTGTCCTTCTGTCTAAAATGAGTCTCTTGTAGACAGCAAATAGATGGGTCCTGCTTTTTTATCCAGTCTGAAACCCTGCGCCTTTTGATGGGGTCATTAAGCCCATTCACGTTCAGAGTTACTATTGACAGATATGAGTTTAGTGTCATCATGATATCTATTTAGTCCTTGTTTTTGTGGATTGTTCCACTGAACTTCTTCTTAAAGGGGAGTTTTAAGAGTCCCCCTTAAAATTTCTTGCAGAGCTGGTTTGGAGGTCACATATTCTTTCAGTTCCTGCCTGTCTCGGAAGCTCTTTATCTCTCCTTCCATTTTGAATGAGAGCCTTGCTGGGTAAAGTATTCTTGGTTGCATGTTCTTCTCATTTAGGACCCTGAATATATCCTGCCAGCCCTTTCTGGCCTGCCAGGTCTCTGTGGAGAGGTCTGCTGTTACCCTAATATTCCTCCCCATGAAAGTCAGGGACTTCTTGTCTCTTGCTGCTTTAAGGATCTTCTCTTTATCTTTGGAATTTGCAAGCTTCACTATTAAATGTCGAGGTGTTGAACGGTTTTTATTGATTTTAGGGGGGGATCTCTCTATTTCCTGGATCTGAATGCCTGTTTCCCTTCCCAGATTGGGAAAGTTTTCAGCTAGGATTTGTTCAAATACATATTCTGGCCCTCTGTCCCTTTCGGCGCCCTCGGGAACCCCAATTAAACGTAGGTTTTTCTTCCTTAGACTGTCATTTATTTGCCTTAATCTGTCTTCATGGTCCCTTAATTGTTTGTCTCTTTTTTCCTCAGTTTCCGTCTTTGCCATTAACTTGTCTTCTATGTCACTCACTCGTTCTTCCACCTCGTTAACCCTCATCGTTAGGACTTCTAGTTTGGATTGCATCTCATTCAATTGATTTTTAATTTCTGCCTGATTGGATCTAAATTCTGCAGTCATGAAGTCTCGTGAGTCCTTAATGCTTTTTTCTAGAGCCACCAGTAGCTGTAGATTAGTGCTTCTGAATTGGCTTTCTGACATTGAAGTGTAATCCAGATTTTGTAACTCTGTGGGAGAGAGGGCTGTTTCTGATTCTTTCTTTTGAGGTGAGGTTTTCCTTCTAGTCATTTTGCTCAGTGCAGAGTGGCCAAAAACAAGTTGTATCTTAGGTCTCCAGGATCAGGCCCTGAGATGAGGGCGGCATTAAATCGCTGAGCCACCTGGGCTGCCCGGAGCAGATTTTCAATCGACTAGTCAACTGTGAACTTATACCTCTAGATATTCCAATTAGTACAAATTACTCAGAGTTGGAATTTGTACTCTGTAAAATATACCAAATATGCTTGTTTGGGTTGAATTCCTCATCTCTGTCCTGTGGCAGTGGGAGTTCACAGTATGGTTGAAAGGGTGTATAAAGGAATCTTGAATTTTTAGCCTGAGTCCTGCCTGAGAACGACAGTGTTCTATGTAAGTGGTTCTCAAACATGATTAGAATCACCTAGAGGTCTTGTTAAAACACAAATTGTTGGGCACCATCTCCAGAGTTACTGATTCAGTAGGCCTGGGGTGGGGCCCAAGCATTTGTACTTCTGACAAGTTCCCAGCTGATGTTGATGTTGCTGATGCTGCTGGTTTAGGGCACAGACCTCAACAATCCTTGATTTATGCTTGCCTCAGGGGTTGTAGTATCAGAATTCTTACCTATACAGTAGCCAACATTTTGTTTTTAAACTGCTTCATTATTTTATGGCCACTTTTGTGGCCTCCTTTGCCCACTGGCCTAAAATATTCTGTTAAGACTTTTCACTACCTAATTTTTAATAAATAAGGTCTGCCTTCTCATGCTTAGGTTTCATGATTTTATCCTTATTTTTTTTCAGACCAATAATAATTTTCACTCAGTGAAACCAAAGTATCATAATTTGAAGAAGTCTGGGGTATGTGGTTGACTAATTTTAAGTGAACAAATAGAAGTCATGTTCTTGTATCACTTTCCTAGACCCAGAAAGAAATAACTCTAATAATTTTAATACCACTGGGTGTAAAAGGAAGACAATTAAAGTTTAGGATCTTAGAAAACAATTTATAAGTATTAAATTTAAGGAAATCATATTTTATCTTCCTAAATGCCAAAGAAGATACCAAGAGCTGTTGATACCAATTTGTTTAGAATTCTCATTATTTTAAGGTTATTGTAAAGGAATATTGTCCTGTACTGATTGATATCTGCTGACATACTTAGAGCTGATGTACTTTTTTTCTTTCAGCACCACGTCACTGATTATGGAGATTCTTTAGAGAAAATATCCCATTGTACTGGTTGATTACATGCCTCAATTGAATAGTAGCTTGCTGCCAATTATTACAATGCCATGTTGATTTTTTTTCTCATTTCTACTATGGAAATTAAAGCAGAATTTGTTTAAAATAAGGTTCCAAATATATTGTGTATGGGGTTGATTCTGAATATTTGTGTTATTTTTTAAATAGTTGTAAAGATAGGTTTGAGGCTAGATCAGAATATTTGGTTGAGGGACTTGAAATGTGTTAAGTAGTCTAAAGGAAATTTTTGGACATATGACTAGTTAAATGCAATCTTATCCAGCCTTTTGTAACATGAATAAAAGAAAAGAATGAAACCGTAGAGACCCTAGTTGGGAGACTCCTGTCACATTAAAGAAAAGGTCACTAGGGGTAAAGTAGAATGTCAGCAGAATAAATGAAAAAGAGGGGAGGGGAAATGTGTGAGAGTCATTTTAAAAGTAGAATATTTATGGCTGGATGACAAAGTCAAACCAAGCTCTACATGATGAGTCTTCCAGCCTTTTAGCACACATGGGACTTAATTTCCAGCCATTCTTCCAAGCCCGCTTATTCAGCTGCAGACACAAGGGCTCCTTACAGTTCTTGGAATATTTCAAGCCATACTAGCTGCCACTTCAATATTTGATTTGTCTCTAATCCTTCTACTACGAAAGCCCTCATTTCTTGGAAGGCTCTGCTCAAATGCCACCTTAACAAACAATCTTCCCTGACTACACATTAAAAAATCACATCCTGGCATTCATTATTCCATTTACCAAAGTTGAATTTTCTTCATAGCACCAAAGCACCAACATTTTATTATATACTTATTTGTTTATCATATGTCTCCCTCTTTTTAGATAGTAAGCTACATGAAAGTAAAGACTTAGTTTTGTTGCCTATTATATTTCTATCACCTAGAACATGGCTGATACTTAGTAGGTACTCAATAAATATTTGTTGAATGAATGAACAGAATGTAAAAGTGGTGGGGATTAAAAATAATGCCAGTATTTCAAGTCTGAAGTATTCCAAAAATAGTGGTATTATTAACAGGGTATGGAAGAGTGGAAGAGGAGTTGATTTAGAATAACAGAGACACAGGGGAAGATAAATTTGGCTTATATCTATCAGCTTAAGTATTTGATGCTGGTGAAACAACCAAAGAAGTACTACAGAATGGGGAATCTAAAATGTGAGGAGAAATCTGGCATTGAGGTAAAAATGATCTTTGAGTCATATTCATAGAATCAATTCTTAAAGCAATGGAAGAGGAAAAAATGACAAATGATAAAAAGACAGGAATATCAGATTTGAAAATCAACATTTGATTTTGTGTATTGAATGTTTTAAATATACAGACTTATTTAATATATATTTTTTGTTTATTTCATAGCTGGGTTAACAACTTTGGACATGAAGGTCTTGGACTCTTATTGGATGTGCTGGAAAAGCTTCTGGACAAGAAACAGTAAGAACAAACAGTAAAAAAAAATCACCAAAGGGGAAATTTTTAAGCACAACATAACATGTTTATTTCCTCTTTATTCAGGCAAGAAAATATAGACAAGAAGAATCAGTATAAACTTATTCAGTGCCTCAAAGCATTTATGAATAATAAGGTAAGTAGTATTTATTTCTGCCTCTCATAAATGTGATAGCTTGTCTAACAGTGTATGAAAGTATGAAACAGACAGCATTGTAAGTTCTTATTTGGTTTTCAAAGGTTCTTTATGATACAAATTATCATCAGGTTCATTGAAATATTTTTAAAAATATACTTTGCTTCACAATATATTTATTTATAGGTTTTTACAATTATGGAAATGCATAAATATATTTCCAAATTAGATAATATTTTTCCTTTTATGGTTAAATGTTGTATGTTGAATACCATTTTTTACAGTATTCTTAGTCCATTGAACAGGAAAATTCAAAGCTATTTGACTTGTTTGCTAACAACATTATAAGGTGAAGATTTCTATTTTATGTTCAATTAATGTTAATGAGTTAATAAACATGACATTTCTGGAAAACAGAAGAGTTTTTAAAATATATATATACCAGCTGCAATGTGAGGGACTTTATGAATTCTAGACAAGGGTTTTTTTCTAAAAATAATTTTTGCTTAGGGTGCTTGGGTAGCTCAGTTGGTTATGTGTCTGACTCTCGATTTAGGCTCAGGTCATGATCTCAGGTTCCTGAGATGGAGCCCTGCATTGTGCCTCCTGCTCAGCATGGAGTCTGTTCCTTTCCCTCCCTGCTGCCCCTCCCCCTTCCATACATGTACACAGGCATGCTTGCTCTCTCTTAAATGAATAAATAAAATATTTAAAAACAATAAAAATAATCTGTGCTTAGCTTATGAAATTATGGTTATTTTTATATAGACTATTTTGTTACTGTATTAGACATGATTTCCTCTATATTCCTGTAGGTGAAATAAAATTGACTAATTCACTAATTGTATAATTCTCTTTAGTGTTTTAATAATCTCAAATATTTGATAGAAATAATTATAACAATTGGGATGCCTGGGTGGTTCGGTGGTTAAAGCACCTGCCTTTGTCTCAGGGAGTGATCCTGGAGTCCTGGGATCGAGTCCCACATCAGGCTCCCTGCATGGAGCCTGCTTCTCCCATGCCTGTGTCTCTGCCTCTCTCAATCTCTGCTTGTGTCTCTCATAAATAAATAAATAAATAAATAACCAAAAACCAGCCAAATGTAGTTGTTAATGTAATATGAATATATAGTTAATAATAATGCAATTAGATTCTGTTTAAAATGTAAACAGTCTCTTAAACATGGGATTATATATGATTATATATATGTATATATTATGCACATGTGTATCAACAAAGAAATTTTGTCATATGGAGGTGGATGCTTGCTAGTTGATGTAAAATTTTCGTATTGAGTATACTAATTGTTCTGTTCTTGGAAGTCTCTGCCAGAAAGATTTCCATCACCATTACTACATAATTTCTCAATTTCTGTGCCCCTAGTCTTTTGCAACAGAATTATGCAGAATCTTATCTTTTAACAAGAAAGCACTTAATGAACATTGTATCTCCAAAAATGAATCTTTCTTCAGTTGAGGGAAACAAAGAAATAACCTAACAGTGCAGTATTAGAAATTGGGAGATACAGTACATGCTTTACCACTAAGTTGAGTAGCCTTTGGAAAATCACTTGATGTTTCTGGCTTTCCATCCCCTCATGTGTAAAATTAGACAAAGGATCCTTTGTTTTAACTTGCATTGTCAATTCTCACAGCTTACCAGGATAATAAATATCTATAAATCAAGATAGTCACTAGAGAGAGTCATAGTAGTGAGATTTCCTGTAGAGCTTTTCCCTCAAGTCTTAAGTTGATATGTCAATACATAATTAATTATGACTTATTTGACAGTTTTGAAGAACATGATGATTTGACTTAGACTGTTCTAAACGAAGGTTAACCTTTAGTTAGGACATGCTAATCTTTTGCATATAAGTACTCAGAATATGAATAAACCGTGAATATTTTAAATTATAGGCACGTGAAACAATAGGCATGAAGTATACATTCAAAATTTAAAAAATATAGTGATATATCCACTTTATGTTGTAATAAATTGTCATAATCAAAGCATGAGACTTTTATCTGAAATGACTTAAAGTTCACATTTGTTGGCCCCAAGGAGTTTAGATTGCCTTCTCCAAAAACTCTTTTCCTTAATATAAAATGAATAATAGCATCATAATAGTTCAAAAGCAACACATTGCCTCTTAACTTTCATTGCTGTAATATTGCTCTTATGTTTAGATTGATGTTTTTTCATTATTTATTTCATTTTTATTTTCAGTAGGTCCCTGTGTATTAGAAACTTCTTTTAAATTATAAATGAAAATTTAAATAATTTTACTCTCAGTCTATTTGATTTTTATTTTAGTTTTTATTTTATTTTTTAAAAAGATATTTATTTATTCATGAGAGTCACAGAGACAGAGAGAGAGAGAGAGAGAGAGAGAGAGAGAGAGAGAGAGAGAGAGACGCAGATACACAGGCAGAGGGAGAAGCAGGCTCCACGCAGGAAGCCTCATGTGGGACTCAATCCCGGGACTCCTGGATCACGCCTTGGGCTGAAGACAGGTGCTAAACCACTGAGCCACCCAGGGATCCCTCATCTATTTGATTTTTAAAACTCTTATTTTAAGTTTGGTAATTGCATGGTAAGCCTCTCTTAGTTTTACACAAGCATTTTTCACTTCTTTTCCTTACTATTTAGTATCTACTGGCTGCCTTCATACATACTTATCTATTCTTTTTTCTTTCCTTCTTTTTAATCTTGTTTCTTCATTTTTTTTCTACCTTGTTTCTGTATATATTCTTTATTATGACCTCTGGTAAAGTTACATTTAAGAGCTTTAGTTGTGTTTCCCTTCTCCCCCCAAATTCTTTTGGAAGTTAAATTAAGCACCATGGAAATATTCATATATTTGGTAATTAACTAAACATTAATCTTGAAATGACAATTTTGATCTGATGAAATATTGTTGTATTTTTACTGTTAAACTGTTAAAAGAAGCAAGCATTTCATAAGAAATTTGAAAAATAGTTTGTGGGACAAAGGTCAAAGAAAATACCTTCTAAATGTAGTGAAAAAATTCAAGTTTTAGCCTTTTTAAACATTTACTTACCTATTTGTTCTTATAATACACACTTGTGTGGTTCTATTCAAGCCTAGAAAACAAATGAAAATGGTGTCTCCTTTGCCAAGTTGACTGTGACACTTACTAAAACCCAGGCACCATTTCCTTGGGTTCATAGCTTTTGTAATGCAGCACAGCTTCCTCTAAGAGGAAGGTTAACAGATGGTATGGGAGAACTAATATAGAGGTTTATTGCTTCTTTAACTGGCATATAGTATACAAAAAAGCTTTACAACATTTTACCCTTCTTATTCAGTTTAATTTTCCATACAAACATATTAGAGAATTTATATATATATATATTTTTTTAATTTTTTTTTTTTATTTATTTATGATAGTCACACAGAGAGATAGAGAGAGTCAGAGACATAGGCAGAGGGAGAAGCAGGCTCCATGCACCGGGATCCCGACGTGGTATTCGATCCCGGGTCTCCAGGATCGTGCCCTGGGCCAAAGGCAGGCACTAAACCGCTGCACCACCCAGGGATCCCCCATATTAGAGAATTTAATTATGAATTCCAGGCATCTCCAGGGAGACCCAATGACATAGGTAGAATTACTTCAGAAAATCATATTAGTATGTACTTTACATGTTTTTCTTTGTTGAAGAAATACTGATTATTCACATATTTCTCCCAAATCTTTATGGAGTTTTTAGGCAGGCTAATGGAGATCATATCTGATCCTGGGGAAAAAACTCCAAGATATAGTTATTTGAAATAAAAAGTAGAAACAACTCCAAGCACTGAGAGGGGCACTTGACGGGATGAGTACTGGGTGTTATTCTGTATGTTGGTAAACTGAACACCAATAAAAAATAAATTTATTAAAAAAAAAGAAACAACTCCAAGATATAGGTATTTAAAATAATTTAAAAAAGTAACTGCATTTGAAAAACATTCATGTAATTTGGTAGAACCTCATTGTAGAGGTGTTGGTTTTTAGAAGACCAATGTAAGTTGCTTTTTAAATTAAAGATGTGGGGATCCCTGGGTGGCACAGCGGTTTGTCGCCTGCCTTTGGCCCAGGGCGTGGTCCTGGAGACCTGGGATCGAATCCCACGTCGGGCTCCGGGTGCATGGAGCCTGCTTCTCCCTCTGCCTGTGTCTCAGAGGCCTCTCTCTCTCTCTCTCTCTCTCTCTCTCTCTGTGCGACTATCATAAAAAAAAAAGAATTTAAATTAAAGATGTGTTACAAAGACATTTTGAATGAAGGTTCTTTTTCTTTTTCTTTAGTTTGGATTGCAAAGGATTCTAGGCGATGAAAGGAGTCTTTTGCTATTGGCAAGAGCAATTGATCCCAAACAACCCAACATGATGACTGAAATAGTAAAAATACTTTCTGCTATTTGCATTGTTGGAGAAGAGAACATGTAAGCATTGCCATATTATTATATTAACAGCATGGAAAATGGCACTTAAGAAATTAACAAGTCCATATTTTCTGCTTTTCATTTGATAACTTGCATGAAAATTTTATTACATTTTAGAGAATAATTTATTGGCATTTTATCTTATCTATTTACAGTTAAGTTTTTTAAAAAAAATTTTGAAACAAATAGGTTTAAACAGATAGAATCCTAATGGGAAATTCTTCAAAGTTGGATTCAAAATGAATGAATAGAATTTTATCTAGTTGATGGTAAAGAAATTATTAGAAAAATGGGCTAAATGCACACACATACACATATATCCCTCACATATGCACTTCACAAAATTTTACTTATTTAACTCACTGAATTCACTGGATGCCTTTTTGTGTGCTGTTATTTTATTTAAAGTAGTTATTTTACTTTATTTACCTATGAGAAGTGAAAAAATGAAGTAATTATGCATACAGTGAAGTAAACTAATCTGTTAGAAAGAATAAAAAGACTCCATTTATTCAGAGTGCATGTATCCATTAATTTTAACAAATTGTTGAATGTACAGTAGTTCATACCTTCTTATGGAAATAATATTGACTGAGCAGTAAAATTTCACATATGATGTCATTAATATGCCCAGTTAGTAGGAACCATTGTGATAACAAATGAAATATCTGCTAAGTATATGAATTAAAATATTTCTTCTGAAATTTTGTGTGATAGTAATAATTTCAATTTGAATTAGAACAGGGCCATGCAAAGATTTAATATGCTAATATGTTGAGTTTTCCATACCTCACAGAATAAAATGAGATCTTGCTTAATGATGCTTAGTGTCCTTACGGACCAAAAGCCAAACACTACACAAAAATATTATCAGAGAGCATTAATTCTTATCTCTGTGAGAAAAAGGAATAAAATAACATGTGAAAACATAAGATTTCCCTAGGTTTTATAGAAAATCAGTTGATACATGAGTAAAAAATATTTTTCTTGTCAACTGGAATTTCAATACTTAATTCATATAATCTATTCTGATGTATTTGTTATAATTGTAGCTTTAGTTTGATAAGCACATATACTACATAGAGTTTAATTTGATTTCAGACACTTTATAGCAATAGTTTCCAAGATTTTTGTTCATTTTAAATAGTTTTCTTATGTAGGTAATTATAGATGCTTCTCTAATTACCTAGACTTTCAGTTTTTCTTTTTCCGTTTTCAAAGAATGTAGTTTTTTTAAAGTTCTTTCAAATGTATTTGCTCTTTCTAGCACTTTAAGATTAGTCTGTTTACATGTGAATAACATTTTAATAATTGTCATATTATGCATAATGATTATTAATATTTATGTTAACATGAAATACCAAACCTGGAATTTTAAATTTCAATATTTAGTAACTAAGTATCTTTTAAAAAATATTACCCAGAAAATTTTTTTCCTTAATGACTCATAAATATATTTATTTTCATTTTGATGACTTAAATTTATTTAAAGCTACTAATATTTGACTTGTGGAAGTATCTGGCTAGGAACTCAACTGTTAAATTGTAGTGGTCTTTATAAACTTTAAATGCCAGAAAGGAAATAAAACTGAAAAAAAGAGATAACCCGTATTCATAATGTGTGTGTAAGATGGATTTCTCATTTCTAATATTTCCCCCTATAGTCTAGATAAACTTTTAGGAGCTATAACTGTAGCAGCAGAAAGAAATAATAAGGAACGATTTTCACCAATTGTGGAAGGATTAGAAAATCATGAGGCTTTGCAATTACAGGTGAGTTGGTTTTGTATTAAGTTTCTTCTGGAGTTATATTTGAACTACTCAATTTGTATGATGTCAACTCCTTTTTAGCTATCATTTAAATAGAATGGAACAAAAAAGTGCAATTCTTCCTGTTGCTTAGTCATTTCTACAAGCTAGAAGTGTTTTGTCTCTGAGAATAACAATTTGTTTAAAATTAGGAAAAGTTCTGCTGGTTACTATAAATATGGTGAATATGGTTGTGATTAATATTTGGAATAAATTTAGTAAATAACAAAATAAACCATGGAAATTAAAGCTTTAGCAATAATCAGAGCTACAGGGTAAGCAGTTCAGCCAATATTATTATCTTAACAAATGTTGATGAAGTCTTTTGGCTTATTGTAGAAATTAAAGAAAACTACTTCTTGCCATTCACACAGTGTTCAGAACCCTGACTCACCAGAGGAGGGGTGGGGACTGAATTGCAATTCTTTGGTTAGAGTCTATCTAATAGCCCTGTTTATAGCCTGCCTAAATGTCTTATTTAGAAAAGGACAAAGCTCACTATCTTGGATGGTTTCAGGAAATGATCCATTTTATACAAAAAGGTGGTTTTATTAAGGCACAGGGGGGCAGAAAGAGCTGCTGCACCAGGTTTGTGAGGGGTGACTGATTATATACTTGGAAGTTAGGGTAGGTAAGGAAATGGGAGTTTTCAAAATAATTTCATAATTTAAAGAGGACCTACAAGATACAGATAGTTTTCTATCCTGAGACTTCTCAAAATGTTATTATAGCCTCAGGAAGTGATTCTGTTAAAATACAGCACTAATTATGTTTTTAAATAACAACTATATGCACTTACTCTTTTTTTATTTTAAAACAGACTATTAACTTCTCATAGAGGTTTTCTAGTTCATCTTTAAAGTGGAATTTTGTACCTGTAATGGGATTTTCATCATCTTCAATAGTTCAGGAAGCAGATAGACAATAAATCATATATCTTCATATGGTCTCTCTTTATTGACTTTCCTTCAGCTTAGTAGCATTCTCATTTCTCACCCATACTACAACACCTTTTGATCTTACTTATTCTTCAAATGTGCGTCTCATCTTTTTTATAGTCCTTGTCTCAAAGAATCATCTATACTTGTTTTCTGTGTTTCCTAAGTTACCTTTTTCAACTCAACCTTTTCACAGTTTTTAAAAAGGTCATCAGTGATCCTCTGATTTCAAAATCCAATGGCCTTTTTCTAGTCCTCATCATTTGGCACTATTACTCACCTCCCTCCTTGAAAATTTTACTGCCTTTGGCTTTATGAACTCCATTCTCTCCTTGCTCTCTGACTACTTCTGTTTTTTCTCTTTTTCATTTGTTTTTTTTTTCCTCTTCTTGGATCCTTTGTTTTCTCTATCCTTGGCCCTCCTCTATTACCATTTTTGTTTAGACATACTTATGTACATTTACATGTATACTTATACATATTTTATCTTCCTCATGAATATTCTCAGTTGCTTCTCTAGCTTTAACATCCAGCTATATTTTATTGATTCCCCATAATTTTAAGTCCATTTCATCTCTCTATTCAAATCTACATGTCTAAATGCTTAGCTAGATGTCTCAGAGGCATTACAAAAATAAGAAGTTAAAGATAGCATTTATAAGTCATGTACCAGTGTTTTAATTCTTTACATATGTTGCTTCATTTTAAACCTCAACTACTCAATGAGAAAGATTGTAGTATCCCTGTTTTATAGATGAATACATAGACTTGTAGAGGTTAGATAACTTTCCAAGGGGAGGCAAAAGTCTAAATTAGGCCCTAGGGTATCTGGCTCCAGAGTACATGCTCTTAACCAGTACATGGTACCTCCTCTTATTATAACTAAGTAAATAGCCCTACACACCTCAGTAACTCCTGAAGCCATCTCTTTGTTACATCATAGCTCATTAACTTACATATTTAATCATACCTTTGAGTTAGCAAGAAAACAATTATATCTAGGATATTTGGTTTAAGAATGTGGGAATTAATTAAAGAGTTCTGTGTAAAAACAAGTGTTGATGCTTACGTAGTCAAACCCTCAGATATATGGACAGATTCTTTGTAGCTTGATTTTCTCCATAGTGGTTCTCAAGTATTGGGATTTTACTCTAAGAATACTTGTAAATTATCTATTACTGTGCTCATACCATCACATATGAGGAAGTAGCCTTGGATAAATCATTTATCATGTCATTACAGGTATATTTATAAAACAGGGAGCTGCAGCTTATGAATAAGGACAAAATTTGTGGAAAAGTAAATGAGTGTGTTAAATACTAAGTGTTGAATGAATATCTGATTATCGCTAGAGAAACTTGTTCTGTTTATTGACATTTTCATATTGTGACCATTTTAAAAGTAAAATTAGTATAATTGGAGGTTGTATAGGTATATATTTATATAATGTATTCATTTGTCAAGTACTTAAAAAGTAACTTCTGACTTAAAGAATGATGCCTTTCATTTTATATCTATTTAAAATTGAACAATTGCCAAATCTATAATTTTTTTTTTTTTGTAGTGGAGGTTCACTAATGACCTCAGTAATATGAAAAGCAACACCCTTTTTAAGTTGTCATGTTGGCTTCTCCAGCACCATTTGAAACTCTTGATCATAACTAACAAAGCTCCCTCCTTCAACTTCCATGATACTAAACTCTCCTTGTTTTTCCTTTACCTATATTTTACATTTTAAATCTTCTTTCTCTTTTGTTGGCCCCTAAATATACCGCTTTCTAAGAACTTGATCCTTAGTTCTTTGGTTCTTTGCTTTGATCATTCTGTACATTGCCCTTGAACAGCCTCATCCATCCTTAGGACTTCCATGTAGCTCTTCTATGTGATGAATTTCTCTGAACTCTTCTTTTTCCAAATCCTTCTAACTCAGACCCCATATATTCTGTTCTTTCATTACTGAATTTTAATTCAATATCATCCTTAATGCTACTTATCTTCCTTTTCTTCATTCTTCTTCCTACTCCAATCCCCTCTCCAATCTTAACCTGCCTCTCTTTAATATTTCAAATCCTTTTTAACTTTAGCATTATCCACCAAGTTGCATAAACCAGAAATGTAATAGTCATCTTTGAATCTACTCTTTCTCCATTCACCATTCCTTAAATTACCAAATCCTGCCAATTCTACTTCCTTAGTATTCTCTCGTTCATTCGTGTGGTATCCCTTCCTTTTCACCCCTGCTGCCACTTCTTTGTTTCAGTGCATTGTCATATCTCATTATTTTACCATTTTCCTGGATTCTTAAGTATCTTCTACCCATTATTCTAGCCCCCTTTAAATCATCTTCCACAGAGTTATACTTCTGAAATGCAATTTTTGTCATAACACTTCTTAAAATCCAAGAAAGTCTTCCCATAGACTCTAGGATTGAAGTTAGATGTAGTGTACACAAAATGCTTCGTCATCTGATTGTGGTTTTCTCTGTAGCCTCATATTTCACCACTCTTCTCCTTATAGTTTTTGGTCTAGTCATACTGTGCTCAGTTTCCTGAATATTTTATGTTGTTTTATCCTTCTACCTCCATACCTCTTTACATGGCTTCATCCTGCCTAGAATCCTTCTCCATTTCTTTTTTTTTTTTAAGATTATTTATTTATTTATTCATAAAGACACAGACAGAGAGAGAGGCAGAGACACAGGCAGAGGGAGAAGCAGGCACCAGGCAGAGCCTGATGTGGGACTAGATTAGGGTCTGCAGGATCATACCCTGGGCTGCAGGCGGCGCTAAACTGCTACGCCACCAGGGCTACCCTCCTTCTCCATTTCTTGACTTAATTAGCTTAAAATGTAAGTTTGCATCGTTCTTCGTTGGTACTTATTTGACTTAAACCATCTTTTTTCCTAACTCCTTCTGGACTAAGATAAAGAAAAACCTTGTTAATGTCAACAAAGCACTTAATAAGTTCTAGTGTGTGACAATATCAATAAAATTTTAAAAGCACACTTTATCACAGTTAATGGCAATATGGATAATCTTTCTGAAAATGCCCCGGAGTTGGCAATTATTGTACTCCATAGCTCTTTGTATTGTGATGAAACCGATAGATAGATGCTTGTATAGTTTTCAGAGCTGATAAGTTAAAACAAATTCTAGCATTTTCCCAATAATTTTGTGAATATATTACATGTTAAAATAGTACCCCTTTGGCAGCCTGTGTGGCTCAGCGGTTTAGTGCCGCCTTCAGCCCAGGACCTGATCCTGGCGACCTGGGATTGAATCCCACATCCGGCTCCCTGCATGGAACCTGCTTCTCCCTCTGCCTGTGTCTTTGCCTCTCTCTCTCTCTCTCATGAATAAATAAATAAAATCTTTTTTTAAAAAATAGTAGCCCTCTCTACCACTTAGGTAAGAAGCTGAATACAAATCTTTTTGTATATCTCATGGCAATAAAATTTGAGATATTTAATTCCATTCACCCATTATATTTTAATCATTTTATTGAGGGCAAGTAGAAGTTACACAGAAAACCCTAAACAAATACAGAGCCTTGCCTTTAGAAAGCTTATAGTCTCTTTTGTGTTACTTCACACTCTGCATCACATCCCATACCCCAGGATGAGGACAATAGCTTCCTGTGACTAAAGTATGTAGATTATTATTGTAGACAGATAACATACTCTTCTACTAATGGAATGATCATAATGTGATAGAAAAACTTATAGTAAAAAAAAATAAAAAAAAAAGAAAAACTTATAGTAATTCAATTTAGTATATATTTATAAATGGTACAAATTATTGGATATTTTAATCACATGCACAAAATTGGTGTTTATATCTATTTATGCATTTATTTGGCAGCATACACATTTATCATGTAAAGAAAGAGATCATTGAAATGCAAATAAACAAACTGTTTTTAGTTGTTAGAAATCAAAATTTTGTTCCTACCTACCATATTTATTAATAATTGAGAAAAATCACAGACTTATTTTGAATTTTAAATTTTAATTCTCATGGAAACTATGTTTAAAACAGATAGGGCAGACCATTTTGAAACTTAAAGCTATAATAAACAAACTAAGCAAAGGAAAGAATCTGGATAATGGACTTTGTGATTTTCAATTCAAGGGCACTTGTTTTCTTTCCAGTACATTGTAGTATTGTAAAAAGAGTCTAAAATTAAAAGTCATGAGACATGAATTCTAATCTAATCCTTATGACTTATCATTAGCTACATGATCTTGGACAAATCATCTAATCTTTCTAGTTTTTCAGGTTCTTTACCTTTAAAGGATTGTATTGAACCATAATATTTTGTATTTTGAAGGTGTTCTCTCTGCTTTAAAATCCCATGATTCTTTGTTTTCCATCTCTGGGTTAGATTTTTTTTTATTTTTGAAAGCTGATTGATTTTGCTTTGTAACCAGTCATGATCTTAAAGATTTATCTACTTGGAAGTTGAATATACTAATTTTCAAGCTTTTATTATTTGAGAATGAGTTTTGTATTTCTTTAGAGCTTAGGTTTTAGATATTAAGCAAGAGGCCTTTTTCTTTAAAGTCTCCTGTGTAGTGCCTTCCAATCAAACTTTATGCAGTATCCTATACTAGTGCTGTCCAATATGGTAGCCAGTAGCCACATGTGGCTGTTGAACATTTGAACTGTTGCCTAGTGAGAGTGAGCAACTGAATTTTTAACGTTATATAATTGTAATTAAGCTAAACTTAAATTGTGACTAGAGACTCTGTATAGAACAGCATGCCTCGTGGGTGTGTATATGTGTGTGTGTGTGTGTATGCATGCATGCAAATGTATGCTGAGTAGGGATTAGGTGATGGAGTGAAAGGAAGTAAAGGAGAGTGAAAGATCATTATTCTGGATGAATGGGATGCTGCCCATACTTCATTGTTCATAAAGTAGAATGTAACACATTCCAGGAACTGTTTTCTACTTTTGATCTCTTTTTTTTTGCATTTCATTATGCATTTTGAGAACCATTTTACTTTTTTAAAGAGGTATAAATGACCTATACAATAACCTTTTTATATACTAGACAATATATTGTTAAAATTATTGTATGTTTTTCTAATTGACTTACAGTTTCATACTAGATATTTCCAGTGTATTAAACATGATGCAATAGTTAAATTTTATTATCTTACCTATCCTTAAAATCTTTTGTTTTGTGAATCTATGAATGGAGTTAATGAAGCATCTGGAATGTACTGGAAATTATCCTATATTTGGAGTAAAATGATATGATTGAGAATCTTGGGTTTTCTCCTTGCTATGTGATCTTGTGTAAGTTACGTGCTTTGAGCCTCAGCTTCTATATTTATGAAATAAGGATAATGGTAACACTTACCTTGTATAGTTTTTATGAGGATGAGATTAGATGGTAAATTATGTAAGGCCTTTAATAGTGTTTGGATAATAAGAATGAAAATATTTTGGGATTCAGTATTTATGAATTCAGAATCTACATAATGGGTATTTAATGTTTAAAATTAAATAAATATATTCTGGCATTGAAACTAATTATATTTTTTAAAATTTAGTTTTGTTCTGGTAAATAGTGACAATTATTTTGGTTTTTGATTGATTTTGTATCTGTCCTCTAAAAAGGACAGTGATTATGTAGTAGTATAAAGGAATGGAGATAATTAAGATGATTTTTTGTTCTCTATATTCATATAATATAAATATTTTTATAAAAGAGTATCACTTTAGGAGAAGATGTTGGGAAATGACATGATGGTATGACTATTCTGCTTATGTTATTTGTAATTAGATATCTGTTAGAATTTGATAAACAATAAATAGTACATTGGTAAACCAGTGCCAGTACCTCTTTAAATTACTGGCTTCAACATGTCTGCTAATTATTTTATACTGTAATGGATGCAATTTTTTAGCATTCAGTTGTATATTCATACATCATATGTAAAGTAAGTATTTAATAGCATTGCATTTATCATATTAAATGTAAAGTTATTTTGATATTGATGCATTCATTAATTTTATTGACTTTTACTATTTTTATCATCTTCTGATCTAAATACTTTTATTTCTATAAAGGTACAACTCCAAGACTCATTAACTTGTTTCTTATGGAAATGTTCTCTTGTAGGATAATAATACAAGCCATTAAGCTAGAATATCTTCTGGCAAAAACAATCCTAGCAGATGGCAACTTTTCTATTAATTTTAGATTGGATATGTAGTTTGGTTTGTTTCGTCATGTCATAGTTGTAACATTGAACAAGGATCATTCAATCAAATGCAACGATAATATAGCTATGGACATGTACAGTACGCAAACTTATATTCCAGCCTATGGAGACTATATAAAGACTTATATATTTTCTTATTCTTAATAGCAAGGTTAAATAATCCAGTAGGGTTTAAGTGTCATAGTAACTTATTTGAAATATCTTTGAAGACAATCACAGTCTTTGGGAAGTATTTATTCAGTTGTCTAAGTGTTTTATATTGACATTTGAGCAATCATAGGCATTGGACTATATCGTTCAGTTGTCATTTAGATATCTAATAATGTTAGAAACAGTCTTACTCATCCCTTTTAAAGCATCCAATTTTTTTTTTATTTTTGGAGCCTGGATATGAGGTAGATGGAGTAATCTCCCTAAAAGCAGCTTAGATACATAAAATAATGGATATAAAAATAAAAGTAATATACCTTTTAAACTTTTCTTTATACTTGGAAAAATAACTTTGATAATGATAGTTCTAGATAAGTCAAGTCAAACTACATTTGAAATATTTTCTTTTGCTGATGTGTTTTTTTGATATGAAGTTTTGATTTTTTTGTGTCTCTTTCTATATATACTTGACATCTTTACTAAATCTGGTATTTTACAGGAGTCCCCTCACAGTCAGCTCTTTGAACACTGTACAGTATACTCATTGCATACTTTAAAAATAATCAATTTAAGTGTGTAGCTCCTGACTTGAACTATTAGCTAGTTGCCTTCAACTTGAGCAACATTTCCCAAAAATCCTATCGGGAATAATGTGTGGATCACCGGGCAATTATCATTTTGTTGATTCCCTTTTAGCTTGTAATTACTAGAAAATAAGTCCCCTTTTATAATAGGGAACCTCCATATCAAAAGATGAGAAAAAAACAATCGTTTTTGAGTGTGAGTATAAATAATGAATCACTTTCACTTGAAAACAAGCTTTTATTTTTACTTTGTCATGCATGCATAGTAGGATTGGTGTCACAGTGCCTTCTACTTGATCTTAATTCACTTGCATTCATTTTTTTTGTTGCATTCATTTTTATACATAGTAAATCAATTCATCTTAATTATATATTTTAATACTCTGTGTTTTTTTTTTTTTCAAGTTCATCCCAATAATAGAATGGAGACAGTGTAAATCTGTTAATTTCTCTAAGTTATCAGTATTCTCTGTTTAATATCAGGGTACTTTCTTTGACTTATTTTAGAAAAGTGTTTATAACCATATATAATTGAGGCCAAGTGCACTCTGTGGACAGCTGGATAGGAAAGATACATTTCATGATATTTTTAAAGGGCTCTGTATGCAGATTTTTGGAACTTTAAGTTTCTCAGAGTTTAATATTCTTCATATTGTTTAGCAATGCATAGCAATATTTTCCCATCCATCATATCCCCATTAGAATTATTCTGAACATTAGAAATTTAATTGTTAATTTTGTCATTTATGCTATAAAATCATAATCATCCTTATACTTGTGTAAATATTTCCATTTCTCCTAATATTTTATAGTATATGTATGTATGGCTTCATTAATAGAAAAATAATGATCTGAATGTGTTAAGTAAATATTTCCTTAATTAAATAAATTATTTAACAAACTTTGCTTTCTAATTGCAGGTGGCCTGCATGCAGTTTATAAATGCCCTTGTCACATCACCTTATGAACTTGATTTTAGAATACATTTAAGGAATGAATTCCTACGTTCAGGACTAAAAACAATGTTACCAGTAAGTAGAGTGTACACATTAAGTATGCTGATGAACTTTAACATATCTCTCTCTTTAGACAAAGTACTTGGAACAGAGTAGACAAATGTGCCTTGCTATATTTTCTCTTGTAAGTATTAGAGATTTTGTAAGCTTTTCTATATTACAGTAATACTAGGTTCTGTATACAACTGATGATTCAGAATTCAGCTAATGTGTCCAGAAGTAATATGGGTGTTTTTTTTTTCTTGTTTTGTCTGTTTTCTTGAAGTGAAAAGGGAATTTCTTTGAATTTGAATACTCAGAACATAAAAGAATACAGCTTTTTCTTTTTCTGCAGCTTCAATTTTCATTTAAAAGTTTTTGCTTTCCTCTTTGATAACTTAGATTGGTATTAATTATATTCAGCAAAAGTATCTATAGACTTTTGACCAGTTATATTCTAGACATTTAGGAATGGTATTCTTGATATAGTGCTATAGAAAGTTTTGTTAAAAACAGTTTTATTTCTTAAATTGAATGTGGATCTATGCTCAAATTTTGATTAGAGCCACTAAAACATTTTTGAGTTAACTTTATAAACTTGATCTGAGATAAAATGAGGACACGTACTCTATAAACACAAATACAGCTAATGTGACTTTATACATTATTTAGTATGTTAACTGAAGAGGGAGTTTGTTTAAAACCATGACATTAAGAGACATGTACAGTCTAATTAGTCTCTTCATCTGAGCTACTCAGAGCACACCTGAGAAAAAAGAAGCAAAGGGAGTAAAAAAAACACAAAACACAACAAAACAAAATAAATGTCAAGTGAGCATGTATATAATACTTAGAGCACTAGAAATACCAAAATCAGGGAAATTTCCTGTTGAGGAATGAGTGTGTAACATGCATCAGTAACTTGTGTTACTGTTTCTGGGAGAGTATTAATGTTTTTGGACACTTGCTGGCTATACGGGCTCCATAGCATCCTCTGCTCATTTACTAATATGCCACATATTGTGCCTCAGTTGTTGCTATTACTTTTCCATCTTTTATTTCCCTGTCTTTATAATTGAATATTCATTTTCTGCCATACACTACTGAATGGTTGATCCAAAAATTTTACTCTCATTTTAATTTAATTAAATTGTACTCTTCAGAAAGAAAATGAAAAGATAGCGCTTGTCCTTACCTTTATCCTTTTCTCTTGTGTATTCACCTTTTCTGGGCTCAGTGGTCTCATGGTATATTGGTTACACTGACAATCAAGTTTTTTTTATCTGTGATTCTAAGCTACACTTTCCCATTGGATCTGTAACTGTATATTAAAGCTTTTGTGGTACAATGTGCTTCTTAATAAATGTTTTCTTAATATATGAATCCTGTTAGATTTTTCAGTAACTGTCACATCTCTTCAGTAAGCCCTGAGTGTACACATTAAGTATGCTTATGTGCTTATGTGTATGTACATATGTATGTGGCTAAGCCCTGATTCCCAGATATCAGTGATTCCTCAGCAAGAGAAAAGTAGGAAGTGTCAAATGTGTGCCTCCTAAAAGTTTGGAATAAATCCTATAAGGTTTCTCAATTTTTTTTCTCCCTTAGTGAAATAAAATATGATTAAATACAGCCCTGGTTCTCAACTAAAGAGGTTGGACATGTCTCCCTAATGAGAATCTATCAAAATCTTATTGAGGGTAAGGCAGAGATGTCTGATTTGAAAAGAAAACAAATCCTTCCCAGGTACTTCCGATAAAAAAAAATGAGAATCAGAATTCAGGCAAATAGTTCCAGAAGATTAGCGATTTTAATTAATACCATAGATTTCATGACTGATGTTATTCTTGTAGTTTATCACAATTTGAAACAAAGGTCAGAATGGTCAGCTTTAATATATATTAGACTTAAATAACGTCAATTATTATCTAATGAACTCATTTTTAATGAACTATTTAATTTACTAAATATTTAAGCTTAAACCACTAGTATTCAGGTAGCATTAAACATCTGTACATATGCATGGAAGCTTAATAATATATTCATACATGAGTTTTAATTTTTTTTTTTTTTTTTTATTTATTTATGATAGTCACACACAGAGAGAGAGAGAGAGAGGCAGAGACACAGGCAGAGGGAGAAGCAGGCTCCATGCACCGGGAGCCCGACGTGGGATTCGATCCTGGGTCTCCAGGATCGCGCCCTGGGCCAAAGGCAGGCGCCAAACCGCTGCGCCACCCAGGGATCCCCATACATGAGTTTTAAAATCCTCACTTTTTTACTGTTCACTCTTATTTTTATACATTGTTCTAGCAGGAGGAGTTCCCTGATTTTCTAGAATCTATCATATTTAAAGCAGCAAATTAGATGTGGCTAAGGCTAATACAAATTGTTGGTACATGAATCAAAAATCAGACCTATCTTGTTGTATGGAAGCATTGAATCACTGTATTATATACCTGAAACTAATATTACACTGTATGTTAGCCAACTGGAATTTGAATAAAACTGTAAAAAGAATTACACCTATCTGGAATCATTAAGTGTTTGGAAAAAATCATTCTTAGGATTTCAATAACTGCTGAGACCATCGTAATAATATAGTAGAGTAAAACTTTTTTCATATAATAATCAGAGTCCTTAATGAGAGTTATTTTAATTATATCCTATAAAAATTTATTTTCTTTTCCTTTTTTTTTTTTAAATTTTTTTATTGGAGTTCAATTTGCCAACATACAGTATAACCCAGTGATCATCCCGCCAAGGGCCCCCCTCAGTGCCCATCACCCAGTTACCCCAACCCCCCCCGCCCACCTCCCACTAACCCTTGTTCATTTCCCAGAGTTACAAGTCTCTCATGTTTTGTCACACTCACTGATATTTTCACTCATTTTCTCTCCTTTCCCTTTATTCCCTTTCACTAATTTTTATATTCCCCAAATCAATGAGACCATATAATGTTTGTCCTTCTCCAATTCACTTATTTCACTCAGCATAATACCCTCCAGTTCCATCCTCGCTGAGACAAATGGTGTTTATTTGTCGTTTCTAATGGCTAATATTCCATTGTATACATAAACCACATCTTCTTTATCCATTCATCTTTCGATGGGCACCGAGGCTCCTTCCACAGTTTGCCTATTGTGGACATGGCTGCTAGAAACTTCGGGGTGCAGGTGTCCCGGCGTTTCATTGCATCTGATTCTTTGGGGTAAATCCCTAACAGTGCAATTGCTGGGTCGTAGGGCAGGTCTATTTTTAATTCCTTGAGGAACCTCCACACAGTTTTCCAGAGTGGCTGCACCAGTTCACATTCCCACCAACGTGTAAGAGGGTTCCCTTTTCTCCGCATCCTCTCCAACATTTGTTGTTTCCTGCCTTGTTAATTTTCCCCATTCTCACTGGTGTGAGGTGGTATCTCATTGTGGTTTTGATTTGTATTTCCCTGCTGGCAAGTGATGCAGAGCATTTTCTCATGTGCATGTTGGCCATGTCTATGTCTTCCTCTGTGAGATTTCTCTTCATGTCTTTTGCCCATTTCATGATTGGATTGTTTGTTTCTTTGCTGTTATGAGTTTAATAAGTTCTTTATAGATTTTGGAAACTAGCCCTTTATCTGATATGTTATTTGAAATATCTTCTCCCATTCTGTAGGTTGTTTTTTAGTTTTGTTGACTGTATCCTTTGCTGTGCAAAAGCTTATCTTGATGAAGTCCCAATAGTTCATTTTTGCTTTTGTTTCTTTTGCTTTCGTGGATGTATCTTGCAAGAAGTTACTGTGGCCGAGTTCAAAAAGGGTGTTGCCTGTGTCCTCCTCTAGGATTTTGATGGAATCTTGTCTCACATTTAGATCTTTCATCCATTTTGAGTTTATCTTTGTGTATGGTGCAAGAGAGTGGTCTAGTTTCATTCTTCTGCATGTGGATGTCCAATTTTCCCAGCACCATTTATTGAAGAGACTGTTTTTCTTCCACTGGATAGTCTATCATAAATAAATAAAAATTTAAAAAAAATGTTGAGGAAAGTTCCCTCTATCTCTACACTCTGCAGAGTTTTGATCAGGAATGGATGCTGTATTTTGTCAAATGCTTTCTCTGCATCTAATGAGAGGATCCTATGGTTCTTGGTTTTTCTCTTGCTGATATGATGGATCACATTGATTGTTTTACGAGTGTTGAACCAGCCTTGTGTCCCGGGGATAAATCCTACTTGGTCATGGTGAATAATTTTCTTAATATGTTGTTGGATCCTATTGGCTAGTATCTTGTTGAGAATTTTTGCATCCATGTTCATTAGGGATATATAAAACTCTAGTAAAAAAAAACAAAACAAAACAAAAAACTCTAGTGATATATTTCCATTTCTTTTTATAGGATATCATATTTGTGCTATTATATAAAAACTTAATGTTTAAAAAAAAACCTTAATGTTTATTTCATCAAGAATATATGGATACATTTTTCAAAGTTTGATATTTGACTGAAAGGAAATTATACATGTTACTGTGTATGTGTATATATATTTATTTTAATGGCAACTACTAATAAACAATATAAGATATTGCATTTATATGTCTGTTTTCATATTGTGCTATGTATGTTCACATACTATGTATATTGTATAATGAACGTGTTGTCCTAATTAAAAACAATTAAACACTTAACCAGTTATTTTCACAGAGAATATTCTAATTATGCAGATTAATTCCATGTTTTACAATGTTTTGATGCTAATTAAATGACAGTATTTAAATTAGCTTTTTCTGTTTTTCTAACATTTAAAAATGTTCAAGTTTTGGGGATCCCTGGGTGGCGCAGGGGTTTGGCGCCTGCCCTTGGCCCAGGGCGCAATCCTGTAGACCCAGGATCGAATCCCTCGTCGGGCTCCCGGTGCATGGAGCCTGCTTCTCCCTCTGCCTGTGTCTCTGCCTCTCTCTCTCTCTCTCTCTCTCTCTCTCTCTCTCTCTGTGTGTTGCTATCATAAGAAAAAAAAATTTAAAAGTGTTCAAGTTTTGTAGTGATTATCTAAGAAAGAACATATTGTGACAGAAGAATAAAGAAAAGTCCGTATTTTAGAATGTGTTAATAGTTGTTTCTACAATGATCAGAATATTACTTGTGTCTGGCTTCTGCTCTTGTCTAACTGGAGTTCTGAAATCATCTGATAATATGCCCATCAATGGTAGATAATTTTTTGATTCACATTGATTTAAATGTGGAAAACTAAATCTAAAGCAAGTTATTACTAATAGGGAACTAAATGTAAATATATTTATTTGTCATATAGTTTTTATGAAATCCTATAGAAACATAGTAATAAGTATTATCATATGTTCTGTGTAAATTTTTAGTAAATTATTACTTGAGTGTTAGAAGAAATCTAGAAATTACATAAATTTGCATTTGGCTGTAGTAATAGCTATTATATTTTTAATTATTCTATTCAATAAAAATAGAAACAAGAAATGAATCCTATTTTGTTTTATTGACCTAATTTCAAGTACACCCGTGCTTGCATTTCCTTTTAGAATTCAAGCTCAGCTCTGAGATCCTAGTCCCACTTTCAGTATCACCCTTGAGCATCCACAGTTGGGATTATCGATTTGGGTTTTGAAATCTGCAACTTAATGGACACATATTAAAAGATATTACAGGTGATATATATTAAGCCCAACAATCTCTCGTGTGGCATGCTTCCAAAGATTTTGTTCACACTGTTACTTTAAAAATTATTGGAGGTTTGTAACGCATGTGCTTATAACGTATTACAAAAACAAATCTTTGATGCCCAAGTTGCTATTTTGTGATTCAGCTAAGCAAAAATGAAAAGTGGGGGAGGAGGCTAGTCCTGCAGCTTGATAAAAAAATCCTGATGCCTTTTTGCTTCAAAATCACAAAATATCATTTAAAATAAATTTCTTTATAAAATTTCTTCGCCATACTTGGGACTGTTGTGCTTGAATATATCCTTTAATTTATTCTTCATTAATACAATTGATCTATATTTGCATTTTTTGCCAGAGGCCTATGTGAATGTTCTAACCGCATGAGTTCTTTTGTGATCTTTGATTAGTATTTTGTGATCTTTGATTAGTATTCAGTAAAAAGACAACAGTACATAATTTGGGCTGTTAGCAATTAGTTTTTTACCCCTTCGTAAAAGTGCTTGGTAATTTTTAATTTAAATAGAAATCTGGGGCATGAAAAGAAAATGCAATGACTGCAATGTGCGACCTTTATTTTAAAGTAGGAAAATACGTAGTACGTTTACTTTCTCTCAGAAAACTTAATTGTCTGGGTCGATATAAAATTCCTTTTGTGTATATAAATGAATAATACTATTACCAAAGTATGGTGTTGTCAAACTGTTACTCATCTGTTAAGTTTTATGTTTATATATTAGGATCTAAAAGAAAAAGAGAATGATGAGCTTGATATTCAGCTGAAAGTATTTGATGAGAACAAAGAAGATGACCTAACTGAATTATCACACCGTCTCAATGACATTCGAGCAGAAATGGAATATCCTTTTGAGACACCACAAAAATAATTTTGCATATATTGTGAGAAAGGGATTCGTGGGTGATTTTGTGGCCCATTATTAGAATTCTTATCTGTCAGCCCAGTTTACATTCATTTATTTATATTAGTACCTCACTATGATGCTATGCTTGAGATTCATGTTGAGGAATTGTCAGACTGTCCTCATGTTTTACACAAGCTGTATTGAAATCTCACAATTGCCTACTGCTGTATTATAGATATATTCAGCTCCATAGTTTTGAATAGACAAGCACCTCAGGTGTATACCTCACATATAAGAATTTGAGGGGAAAAGTTCATTGAGTTCATATGTAACCATAGGTAATATAGTTTATTAAAATATACTCAATAGTTAGGGATACATGTCACTTTAATAAATGCCTTATTCTCAATCCAACTATTTTGGTTCCTTAGTGAAAAAAAAATGTTCAGATGTGATAGTATCTGAGTATAACAAGGTTGTTTGGTAGAAGCATTTGAATCAGATACAACTAGTATATAATCTTCCTATGGCAATGATTTTATATTGAATGATTTTAGATCTAAAAGATGATTGTCACAGCATTGCTGGCTATTTGTTTCACACTCATTAAATTTCTTATTTAGGATTGGGGGGGAATTGGGAAATACTTCAGAACTAAAATGGTCTTTGAGATGGAATTTTTCCTCTATGATGGCTTCCTCCATTTTCTTCCCTTTACCGCCAAAAAAAAAAAAAAAAAAAAAAAAAGCTGGAATCTTCCTCTCCTTGAAACTGCTACAGTACTTTCTACTTTATATCTTTCTTATTTATGTACACTTCTCTGCCTTATTAAATTGAGGGCAGAAATTTTATGTTTCATCTTTTTCCTCCAATGCTACTATTGAAGTATTTTACACCTAAGTATTGGATAAATGTGTGTGCAATGGATAACAATGTCAGTATTAGAAAGGATCATTAGTGACCCTAGTCTACAGTAATTTCCATAATATTAAATGCTTTTTATATTAATATATATCTTGCTTCCTTACTTTTTATAGATTTCTCTTATAATCAAACTTTACCATAAAGCTATTTTGGATTACATTCTGTAACCACTTAAAAGATCTTATGAGACTTTAACACAACACTTGTACTTCAGAGAAAATGTTGACATTTCAGGTTATTTTTAGAATATAGGATTACATTTCCTCTTTTACTTTTCTGTTATATTGATTTTCCATGTCTTCACTTTTATTATAAAATAAAAGTTTTGAAATCTGTTGTCTAGTTAACTTAAAGCATCTAAACTTTAACTACTCTTTTTATATCCGAAGAAAAATGTTTCAAGTTCTACTATCTATACTCTCCATTTTTATTAAATAATGAAATACAAATGAATGGAAAGAGAAAAAATTTTACATTTAGTACTGATTTTATCAGTATAATATAAAACTAGTTTGTGATATTTTAACAGTCCATAGAATGTTCCTTTACCTTCTATATTGTGTGGTAATGAAAATAGAGGAGTAGTGGCTTACATGAATAATATAGGTCCTCTATCACAGCCACAGGAAGATTAAGAGTAAACCATTTTCTCTAATCGCGTAACTGTACCAATCATACCAGCTATCATCTGTAATTTATAATGAATGACTGATTATTTAAGGTTTTGATGATTAAATGATCCTGGAAATACTCTTTAAGTCTTTTCTCTCATTAAAAAATTAAAGTGATTCCATAGGTTAAATTTATTTCTGTAAATTTTAAAATACTGGATCATGGATTTGAAGGTGTATAAACAGTAAGGGAAACAAAATGGTACATCATTGTTTTAAAAAATAAAACTGATTTTGTTATGAATGAAACTTTCATCAATTTTTTTCCTTTACTTATTTTTACTGATATGAATGAAGTGTATCATCTTCTATATAACATGTTGAAGGATACTGCTGCTGAAAATTACTTATTATCCATTCTACAACATTTTTTGCTCATCAGAAATGATTATTATATCAGGTAAGAGGCAGTTCTGAAAGTACTAGTATTTGTGTAATTTGAATTCCATATTTAAGAAAAACTAATAATGTACTTCATCCTAGTGTATACAAGTTTGATGACTTCAGGAAACATTTTTTAAAAGGTGTGAATTTATTTTTGATTGGGCCAGAAATGTCTATTCTTTAAACTGGGTACCCCAGTGACAGGACATTTAGTAGATAATTAACATGGCCGCAAAGAAAACACTTGTGTTTTCCTTGTTTACTCAGAAAGCCCCTGACTAGACTGATTATAATCCAGTATTATCTATCCTAAAACTGAAGATGACTTGAAAAAACCTAAGATGGGTAATATATATTACTATTTATTTTTATTCTTGAGGCCAGCCTCATAACAAAAGCAATTAGACTCTGGCTTTGTTTGCAAACTTTTAGTAGGTTGGCTAGTTATCAGCACAGAATCTTAAGAATATTTATGTCATTATTTTTGTTTACTAGTGTTTCTGATTCTTCTCTGTTGACTTTATTAGCCACTGATAAATACTAAACTTTCCCTAAATTTTATTTTGTTTTATTTTAAGATTTTATTTATTTATTCATGAGCGACACAGAGAGAGAGGCATATACATAGGTAGAGGGAAAAGCAGGATCTATGGTGGGACTTGATCCTGGGACTCCAGGATTATGCTCTGGGCTGAAGACAGGTGCTAAACCACTGAGCAACCCAGGTGTCCCTAAACTTTCCCTAAATTTTAATGCAAAAGTGCCTTTAAAATTTTTTTGAAGTATGCAAGTAGTTATTTTTAAGGCCATAATTATCTTGATAGATTACAGAATTAGAGTATGCTTAAAAGCCTTTGACATTTAGAACAAATTCAGTCTATGGCCATGCATATTAAGTGTATATGGTTCTATGAAATGGATCTTTTAAAAAAGTGCATAAATAGGTCTTTGGAATATTGTGGGTCAGTCTGGTTTTGTAAGCTGTTATAGCTAATCTTGAGTAAAAATGGTATTGTAAATTCAAGGTATTGCCACCTAATGCGAAGATACTCATGCTTTACTGAAATTGAGAACTTGTAGGGGCTTAGAACCATTTCTGTATCCATGGATATAGGACTAACAGGTCATTTGTTTTCATTAACTTTAGGAACAATAACTTAAGTAAATAGATAATATTGATAAGTATCTTTGTACACAAGCATGAATCTCTACAAACTAGAGTATTAAGTCAGTAAGTGTTCACAATTACGTTATAATGGGTTTTGTATTATAATGTCCAGACCATCCTTAAGTTTAGGCATATTTCTCCTAGGGGAGTGTAATTGCTAGAAAGATCTCTTCTAATGTCCTACAAAAAGTGTTCTTTTATCATGCTGTACCACTTTTTAAGAAAGATTTTATTTATTAAGAGAGAAACAGAGAAAGAGACAGAGAAGGAGAGATAGCATGAGTTGGAGGAGAGAGAGAGGGAGAAGGAGAGCATCTTAAGCCTACTCTGCACTGAGCATGGAGCCCAACATGGGGTAAGGTGTGGGGGGCTGCGATCAATCTCACAACGGTGAGATCATGACCCTGACTGAGATCATAACCTGAGCTGAAATCAAGAGTTGGATGCTTAACCAACTGAGCCACCCAGGTGCCCTGAACCACTTCGTAAGAAAATTGACTTGTATAGGTAGAAAAGATATTCAAGAATACTTTGTCTCTTTCAGGCCACAGTATTACAAAATAATTGAGGAGTGCATTTCACAGATAGTGCTGCACTGCAGTGGTATGGACCCAGATTTCAAGTATAGGCAAAGATTAGACATTGATTTTACACATCTGATAGGTACGTAATATTATCCTCAATGTCCTTTCTTTGTGTTTCACTCTTTTCTGTAAAATATCACATTTTGAAGGTAGTGCTCTCACTGAACTTCGTTTATTAATATCTGGAATGTCATTGTGTCTGTGAGTATTCAATCATCATAATTGTTAATTAGGTTGAATATGAGAGTTCTGCTTGTATGATTGAAAATAGTAACCTGTTAGATATGTTATAATGTTCTTGAATTCAGTTTAAAATCAGTGACCCTCACACACAGGAAAATCATATTAATAATAATATTATTATTATAGAATAGAGTGCTTTTTAGAAATATGAGTCTGAAATCCTTTGATTCAGTTTATATTGGCACCTCAGTGGTTTTATAGAAATCCTATGTACAGTAGGGTCTAGTGTTCAAATTTGAGAAAGGAAATACAGGCTTCAGTAACTTAAGACCTTTTAACTCTATCAAAGTAGATCAATTTATATTTTCATAGGTCTTAAATCTAGGAAAGAATTTGAGGTGATCATGTCCATCTACTTGGATCACTAAGGAAGTGAAGTTATATCATCCTAGGCTACTAGTTACCTGTACTTTCTGGAAGAATCTCTGAGTGATGATGTGAAACCTCTCTTGTGAAATATGCTATGTTATATTGATGTTATAGTTAAACAGTTTTTATACCTAATAAAAATCACTTTTGCTAAGATTCATCATGCATAAGATTTGTCTTATCTTTAAAGAAAGAAAACAACAGCTGTGGAATGTCAATTTTATATTATTCTTCACTCCGTAGCACAAGGCAGACTTACAGTAATATTCAAAGATGAATTCCTTATTATTAATTATTATGTATTATTTTCTGATTTTAAAACCAATGCTCATTTATTCTAGGCAATCTAGAGGTTTATGTAAGTGACAGAAAAACCACCAATCTCACTTTTCAGCTCAGTACATTCCACCACCATTACTCACTTTTTGGCTAAGTACATTTTCTTCCCTCTTTTTTTTTTAACCTATCTATATGCTGATTTTTCATGGGACTTTATATTATGAGACATTTTTCCAATTGAAATTGAAATGAAGATCATTAACAACCATTGACAGCACAACACAGATCTGCCACCTATGTCTCATCATTTACCAATTTCCTCCTTGTTCTTTAAACACAGTTCTTTAAAAAAAAACAAAAACAAAAGCAAAAAACCTTTATTGAGGTATACTTGACGTGAGAAAAACTATCCATTATTAAGAACATAATTTGATAGATTTTGATATTTGTATGTGTACTTAAAACCATAGTCATAGTCAAGATAATAAACATCTCTATCACTCTCTCAGGTTTTTGTGTTCTCCTTTGTAATCTCTCCTTCTAATGCCTCCACCTCTCCCCATCCTGAGATAACCACTGATCTGTTTTCTCTTTCTATAGGTTAGTTTTATTTTCTAAAATTTCATATAACTAGGAGCATATAGGACATACTCTGTTTTTGTCTGGTTTCTTTCATGTAGTGTAACTATTTCGAGATTCATTCATGTTATATTAATGTATCAATAGTTTATTTCTTTTTATAGCTGAATAGTATTCTAGTATATGGATACATTGCAGGTTATGTATACATTTACTTGTTGATAGACATTTGGGTTCTTTCTAGTTTTGGCTATTATTATTAAAGCTGCCAGGAATATTCATATACAAGGATATAGACATATGTTGTCATTTATTTTGGGTAAATAAATAGGTACAGAACGGCGAGATATGTAATAGGCTTGTCTATGTAATAATAATATTACCAAAAAGAGGTTCGTCAGTTATTAATGATCTGGAATATTTGATCAGACCCGAGAAACTTAAAGTTTGTTTCCTTATTTACATAACACATTCTGTTCCAGATCAGAAGTTATTTAAGAAGTTATATATCTTTAAAAAACCTGAATTAGTGAATGCTGTTGTGTTTCCCATTATAGTCTTATTTTAAAGGTCATTTTGAGTCTTAATAATCTTAATAATAGATTCTTTGTCACCTCTCCACCCATAGTAAACTTCAAAAATATTTAAAGAATTATGTTGTTGTAAAAGTTGGGAAATAACTGACTACCTCTAAATTGGTGATGATTTACTGAAATACATTCTTAGGTGCTTGGTTTTGTGACTCAGCAATACTATCATTGAATTCAGTTAGTATGCAAAAAAAATTGTGGTGATTTACATTTTATATGTAGTGTAGGTCAATTTACCATTAATAGCAATTGACATTAAAATGATTTTCTACATAGTGGAATTATAGGCTGTCAGTCATCTTTTGCCTAGATATCTGGTACAATAATTTCTGATTATTTTTTTAATATTAATAGATTCTTGTGTGAACAAGGCAAAAGTTGAAGAAAGTGAACAAAAAGCAGCAGAATTTTCAAAGAAGGTAAGGCTTATATTAACCATAATTATTAAATTAATAATTTATTCACAATACGTGTTTTGTCTTATTTCTTTATGGAATGCTTTATAAATGTTATTTCAGTTATATATTACTTTATGTTTCTGGATTAAAACATAACTACAAAATATTGATTTTGTTCCTGATAAGATGAGGTTGCTACTATTCCCTCCTCATCACCTTTAATGTATTATGGAAGAAAAGCACTAACTATATTCTACCAGAGTGATAAGTGAAATAAAATTAGTTTATTGGAAAGATATCATTTGAAGCAATCAACCAAAATATATTCCTGTCATTGCTTTCTTGCAGTTTTCACTTACAATAGGTAGCTTCCTTGGAGAACTGTGAGACGTTTAGCTAGTGTAACCTATCATGCTGTTTAAAGACAGTGCTATTAAATAGCAACAGGATTACATAAGGTTTTTTCTCTTTCTGTCTCTCTCTGCTTAGACTTTTCTTCTTTGAATTTTATTGTTACCACTTTTAAATGGTTCTGCTACTTCATGTAGGCTTGGTAAATTTGAGGTCCCCCTTTCTTTGTATGTTAATAACTTATATAAATACAAGTATTATGGTTATTGTATTTTATTTGGATTTCAGATGGTCTTTTCCTTGTTTTATGAAAACATAACTCCAGTTGTGAGTTTGTACCAAAAGTTGCATTTTCTTGTTCTAGACCGTATCCTTATGAGTCATTAGTATAGTATTTCTCTCCTATTGGCGCAGGGAGAAGGATTGAAGCACAACTCTAAAAACTCTCCAGTTTTCAGCCTTCTGACAGCAAGATAAAGTGCTTACATTCTGCAATCTCTTCAAAGCTATGACTTAACCTTTGAGATTAGATTAGATTTTGCTATCACTTTAGAAATTAAAGAGTGTTATTGAAGTTACTTAAGGGCATCTGAAGAAATGTCTTTGCTCTTTCAGTTACTAGAATAGATTTTCAGAACTTGAGCATAAAATGTTTGTGTGAAGTTTTCATTTTTATTGGTTGAAGAAAATGCATGCTTTTTCATAGACCTTTATATATATGTATAATGTTCTTGTTTTAAGTAGCAAATTTAGAAATCCCTTTGAAAATCTTAGAGTCTCCTTAATTTTTCACTGCCAGTTTGATTAGTCAACAGAAGACTGGAGCAGATTGTGATGATCTATCTGATAAAATTTTCTGTAAGCATATAATATGGGAAATGGAGCCCTGAAAATAATTTTACAAAAAGCTTTTCAGTGTTTAGTGCTTTATTCTCATCACCAGTATTTAGAATGAAAACATATATGATCTCCCAGTGGTTATCTGCATGCCTTCTCTTATTCTGGGTGATTTTAAGAGGCTATATAAAGTAGTAAAAAATATGTAGGGGAGCTAGAATGAGAAGCAATAGTTATAAGATCTGATTGTAGCTTTCCACTAATTAGCTGTGACTTTAAGTAAACCACTTACTACTTACTCTCTTTGGATCTTAATTTCATCAGCATTAACAGAAGAGGATAAGTTTAGTGGCCCTTTAATAACTTTTCTAACCTGTATATTTCAGGCTTCTGTGATTCCTACTCTATGGCTTTACAGATTAAGATCACTTTAAATTACAAGCAGAAACATTGCATTCTTCTATTCAATTTGTATCATGCTTAAAAAACACATAGAAGAAGATAAATTTGGGAGGGAGGGTGGAAATACAGAATGAGATAAAGTCTTAACTTGGATAGTAGAGTGAAGTTAAAAAGGCTGCATGTTCTCAGTGACCTAGGAAACATGGTCACTTACTGATTGTGGAAGATCTGTAGTGGGTTTGAAATTTTTAAAGATTAGAAACAATTTGGACTAACCTACGTGGAACATTAATTAATTAGCATTGCATGTTTGACCCAAACACTATTATTATCTAATTCCAACACCCACTGTTTCTTCAGACTTGTGTTTGATATTTATTAATTTCCAAAAGTTGGATTTATGAGGATGAATATTTATTAACAGTAAATATACTTTTTTATTGTTCTATATACTCTAAAGACATTGTAGACAGTAAGATATATCAATTTTAGAAACAGAAATAATGTTAATTGTATAATATGGCCTTTTAAAATGACTCAAAGTGACACTGATAATAAAAGGCATATATTCTATAGATGAACATAAGCAGTATTACTCTATGTATGCAGGGTTGTTTGGTTCACCTTGGTGCCCTGAATGAGGTAAGGGATGGGCTGGATGCAGTAAATAGATATTCACCATTCGGATGGTCTTTTCTGCTTAGTGTGCATCTGCTAGTTTCTTAACATACACTGTAAAGAGTAGAATTTAGTGACTCATCACTTATATATAACACGCAGTGGTCATCACAGGTGCCCTCCTTAATACCTATCACCCATTTAGCCCATTTCCTCCCACCTCCCCTCCAACAACCCTCAGTTTGATCTCCATAGCTAAGAGTCTCTCATGATTTGTCTTCCCTTTTTAAAAATATTTCTTTCCTTCACATTCATCTGTTTTGTTTCTTATATTTTACATATAAATGAAATCATATAGTATTTGTCCTTCTCTGACTGACTTAACTTGCTTAGCATAATATACTCTTGCTCCTTCCATGTCCTTGCTTGTGCCAAGATTTCATCCTTTTTGATGACTGAGTAATATCAAACACACACTCATACACACACACACACACACACACACACACCACGTCTTCTTTATCTATTCATCGGTCAGTGGACATTTGGGTTATTTCCATAATTTAGCTATTGTTGATAATGCTAATATAAACAGCTGGGTGCATGTGCCCCTTTGATTCAGTTATTTGTGTGTCCTTTGGATAAATACCTACTAGTGCAATTGCTGAGTTGTAGGGTAAGTGTGATTTTTAACTTTTGGGGGAATCTCTAAACTGTTTTCCAGAATGACTGTACCAGTTTGCATTCCCACCAACAGTATAAGAGGGTTCCCCTTTTCTGCATCCTTGCCACCATTTGCTATTCTCTGTATTGTTAATTTGAGCTGTTTTGATAGTCGTGAGGTGGTATGTCATTATAGTTTTGATTTGTATTTCCCTCACAAAGGATGATGTATAGCATTTTATATCTGTTAGCCATCTTTATGACTTCTTTGAAAAATGCCTATTCATATTCTGCCCATTTCGTAACTGGATTATTTGGTTTTTGGGTGTTGAGTTTGATAAGTTATTTATAGATTTTGGATACTAACCTTTTATTAGATATTTCATTGGCAAATACCTTCACCCATTCCAAAGTTCATCTTTTATGTTTGTTGATTATTTTTGCTATATAGAAGTTTCTTATCTTGATGAAGTCCCAATAGTTCATTTTTGCTTCTGTTTCTTTTGCTTCTAGTAGACATATTCAGTAACAAGCTGATGTGAAAGAGACTGCTGTCTGTGTTTTCCTCTAGGATTTTGATGGCTGCCTATCTCACAATTAGGTCTTTAATCCATTTTCAATTTAGTTTTGTGTATGGTGTAGGAAAGTGGTCCAGTTTCATTTTTTTACATGATGCTACCCGGTTTCCCCAAGACCATTTGTTGAACAGACTTTTTTCCATTGTATGATCTTTCTGCCTTAACCAAAGATTATTTGACCATATAGTTGTAGGTCCATTTCTGGGTTTTCTATTCTATTTCATTGATCAATGTATCTGTTTTTGTGCCAAGTACTAAAGTATCTTGATGACTACAGCTTTGTAGTATGGCTTGAAGTCCAGAATTGTGATGCCACCATCTTTGCTTTTTCAAGATTGTTTTGTCTATTCAGGTTTTTATGTGGTTCCATACAAATTTTACAATTGCTTATTTTACCTCTGTGAAAAATGCTAGTGGTATTTTGATAGGTATTGCTTTGAATGTGTACACTGCTTTACATAGTATAGACATTTTAACAATATTTGTTCTTACAATTTGTTAGCATGGAATATTTTTGCATTTCGTTGAGTTAGCTTCAATTTCTATCAAAAGTGTTCAATTGTTTTCAGAACAGAGATCTTTTACATGTTTGGTTAGGTTTATTCTCAGGAATGTTAAGGCTTTTGGAACAATTGTAAATGGGATCATTTTCTTGATTTCTGTTTCTGCTCCTTCATTATTGGTGTATAGAAATGCAGCAGATTTGTGTACCTTGATTTTGTATCCTGTGATTTCACTGAAGTCATGTATCTGTACTGGCATTTTTTTAGGTGGAATCTTTTGGCTTTTTACATAATAAATGTCATCTACAAAGAGTGAAAGTTTGACTTCTTCCTTGCTGATTTGTATACCTTTTATTTCTGTTTATTATTGCTGAGGCTAGGACTTTCAGCAGTATGTTAAACAAGTGGTGAGAAGAGATATTCCTATCGTGTTCCTGACCTTAGGGGGAAAGCTTTCAGTTTTTTTTTGTCATTGGAATGATATTAGCTGTGAGTCCTTCATTTATAGTCTTTATGATAGTGAAGTATATTCTGTCTATCCCTATTTTGTTGATGGTTTTTATCAAGAATGTATTCTGTACTTTGTCAAATGCTTTTTCTGCAACTAATGAGAGGATCATATGGTTGTTATCCTTTCTTTAATTAATGTGGTGTATTACGTTGATTTATTTGTGAATATTATGGAACCACCCTTGCATTCCAGCAATAAATCCCGCTGGTGTGAATGATTCTTTTAATGTACTTTTGGATTTGATTTCCTAGTATTTTGATAACCATGTTTGCATCCATGTTCATAAGGAATATTGGCTTTTATTCTCTTTTTTAGGGGGGGTCTTTGTCTAGTTTTGGAATTAAGATAATTCTGGCCTCATTGTCTAGTTTTGGAATTAAGATAATTCTGGCCTCATAGAATGAGTTTGGAAGTTTTCCTTTCATTTCTATTTTTTGTAACAGTTTGGGAAGAATAAGTATTAACTCTTCTTTAAATGTCTGTTAGAATTTCCTGGAAACCATTTGGTCCAGGTGTCTTGTTCATTGGGTGCTTTTTTTTTTATTTTTTATTTTTTTA